TTGAAATTGTAAAATACCCAGATAATTTGTACGAGTTAACAGATCCCTCTGTTCAAGACTTTCAAGCGGCAGAGAATTGAAGTTCTGGGATTTGGCAACGAGAGGCTCTCTCCTTTGGGAATAGCGCCTTTTCCGGCAGCGATGAATTGGTGGTATACTGCCGGGCGGTGTATATACCGGTAATCATCTTTCCAGCCTCACCCATTCACTAAACGGGGGTGTCACGAAACAATTAGAAACATTCAGCTAACAGATCTCTAGAAATTAACCATGGAGGTATTTTTTGCATGGCCCGCGCATATAAAAGGTCCACAAGTATGATACTTGAATACCCTGAATGTTCTTCACCCTCGACCTACATAGGTAAGGAAACTACAACTATATATCAATACAGAAAGCCCACTTCTTTTTAACTATCCAACCTGAATAAATATCAAGCGCAGTAAAAGTCACCTAAAATTGGTGATTTATGAGCAATCTTGTTTTTGATATGCTCCTTATTCTCAATTGGATAGTACCTGTTGTGTAGGTCATAGTATTACAGACCCCATACATATAGGAGCCATAGATCATCGAGAATGCAAATTATGTTGAATCGGAATCGACACGATTTACTTCTGGCTACCGTGTATATATTTTCAAATGTTGCTAGATAAGTGAAAAACTCCAGTCTGGGAGAGGTGCAAGCAAGCCGCAAGACGATCACAAGATGAAAGGGATAAATTCAATTCTATAAAATCCTGTTTTGGGGAGAATCAAGGAAATCAGAGCGAACAATTCAACCCGTAGGAATAGATAGCAACATCATAGATAATGTTGAGGAAATGACTCGATTCAAGGTATCATGTATCAAATTGAAAAAGCATGGGATCTGCAACAAGGCGGATGAAAGGAGAAGGACATATGATCGGGCGAACACCAAGGCATTTATTTACACGGATGAGGGAGGAAGGAGGTGGGGTAGGCATAAGGACAGTATCACGCAGCCGGGGGGTGGTTCTTGCGGAATGAGACCTTCTCAACAGCCACATTTTCCACCCCATTGGCATCAGTCTTCAGCTGGTAGACATACAACACAAGGACATCACCTTGAATCTATTGAGGGTCAGCATATATACTATCCACCAAATCCGTCAGGGCAACTCACGTCCATCAAGCAGAAACTCGGTGTAGGCTCCTCGCCATCTGGCCAGAAGCCCGAGCTCATGGCACCTGTTGCGCTTCCCGGGTTGATAAAGAACCGACCCTCCATCTCAAATGCCTCAAAGCGGTGGGTACCACCCCAGAGCAGGACATCGACGTCCATCTGGCGGGCCGCGATAAGCAGTGCGTCGGCGTCGGCGGGTGGCACGATGGTGTGGCCATGAGTGAAACCAATTCGTAGACTACCATGGTTCACGATCTTAGAGAGTGGAAGATTGGGAGAGTCGACATCGTAGTCGCCCTTGACCATCTGCAGGTCTGGAGCTACCTCGCGGAGGAAATCATAGGTCTCGCGGTCAGTCAGGTTGCCCAGACAAAGGGTCTGGCCAATCTTGCCAGGGGTCAGGAGTTTGCGAAACTAGAATCGGCGGACAGTATCAGCTGGCTGGAATAAATTGTGATGCAGAAGAAAGACGGACCTTGGCTGGAAGATCCTAGACGATGTGTTAGCGGAGATAGTGAAGCTGAGCTGAGGACAGCTTACAGGAGCTCGGTCAGGGATGAACAGGTCACCAATGACCAAGACCAAACGGGCGGTCATCCTTGAGGGTGCGTGTGGGGTAAATGGAGATCAATGGTCCATCCACGGTGATCAGAAATTGAAGCAAGCCAGATGGAAACAACGCCTGTTGGCTTCAGCCTGATGGAGCTTCGCGGGGAAGAGCAACTAAGCAATGCCCTAAGCCCTATTTTATGTCTAAATATGGCTAGCGCTATCTGTTCTATGAAGCCATCCCGATCTTTGGTTTGTTTCGCATTGGCTCATCAGGCCGAACCTCTCGTCCGAATACTTTTCGGGTTGATGAGTCCAATCCATGTTCTACCTCATATTTGTTCGAAGGTTTCCTAACCCTTCGCGGAGGTTACCGTGAGGAGATCAGGAGGGGGCATACTACATTGGGGTTCGAGGATCGAATGGAGTAGCAATTGCCGGGCAGCCATCGGCATTGAGATTGATCTACAAAATAAAAACAGTTGGGGTGTTATACACACATTCAACTAAGAGAGCAGGTCTATATTAGATTTGGATACTCCTATCTCCAACATATTTGTAGTACAAAATATAACATAGATATACAATCCTGTTCAATTGCTAATAGAATGATATAAAATGACATAAAAACCTGCAGAATACCCCAGATATTGATTTAATATCCACCAATATCTATAGAATAGCACGTACAGCGTAGGACGTAGACTGTTGGGAGTCTCAATCGGTAGGATCCGCCCGGCCTTCCTTTCTCCGACGTCCAAACCCCCCAAAGGAAAAACAACCCCCTTTGGAGACAAGAGCGTGACTCAATTCATAAATAATCCTCCCAATCTCACTCTCACATGCCCCTCGGTTCTATCATCCGAGTCAACAAATCATCGAATCCTAATCGGTATCTCGGCCAATCCACTCGGCGGCGATCCCCGAAGTCACCAGTTACCCTCGGGAACTCCTCCAATCCCCTTTCACGCGAAATACCCCGCGGCGCGCCGCAATCGGAAAGCTGGCGTCCAAAAAGACTACGGAGCGCCTGAGTCTGATTTCCAGACACCTGGACCAGAGCCTTCCGTTACCTGACCTCAATACTCCGTTCTCAACCGAGAGAGATTCGCTATTCTCCGACGACGTCGAATATAAACCCATTGAACGCTCCATCCCTCCTGCCCCTCCCTCCGAACCAACTCCCACTATGTCTGCTCAAGCCCCTCACAACACCCTCCTGATCCCGGGACCCATCGAATTCGACGATGCCGTCCTTCAGTCTATGTCCCACTATGCGTGAGTTGTCCAGGTTACAATCCATCATGCTGCAATGAACAACCAACTGACTCCTCTAGTGAGAGTCATGTTGCTCCCGGCTTCGTCAAGGTCTTCGGCGAGACCCTGACTCTCGTCCGCAAGCTGTTCCAATCCACCAACCCCACCGCGCAACCCTTCATCATCTCCGGAAGCGGTACACTGGGCTGGGATCTCGTCTCCGCCAACTTTATCGAGCGCGGCGAGAACGCCCTTGTTCTCAACACCGGCTACTTCGGTGATTCCTTCGGCCAGTGCCTCAAGACATACGGTGCCAATGTGACACACCTCAAGGCTCCTATCGGCGATCGCACCCCGCTCGAGGAGGTGGAGGCAGCCCTGAAGGAGAAGTCGTACAAGCTCATCACCCTCACACACGTCGACACATCGACCGGCGTGCTCTCTGACGTCAAGGGCGTGGCACAATTGGTGCGCCGCGTCAGCCCAGACACCCTCGTGGTCGTGGACGGCGTGTGCAGTGTCGGCTCTGAGGAGATCGCCTTCGACGAGTGGGACCTCGATGCTGTCCTCACAGCTTCACAGAAGGCCATCGGCTGCCCGCCCGGTCTCAGCATCGTCATGACCTCCGGCCGCGCCATCCAGGCCGCCCAGTCGCGCAAGACCCCTCCCGGCGCTTACTACGCCTCCATCGCCAACTGGCTTCCCATCATGCAGAACTACGAGAACAACAAGCCCTCTTACTTCGCTACCCCTCCCACCCAGCTCATCCACGCCCTGCACACCACCCTCACCCAGATCACCGCCGATGTCCCCGGCCGCTTCGCTATCCACACCGAAGTCTCGAATAAGGTTAAGGCTGCTGCGGCTGAGCTCGGTCTTAAGCAGCTCGCTTCTCGCCCTGAGTGCCAGGCTCATGGTATGACTGCCATGTACTTGCCCGAGGGTCTGGTCCCGGCCGATGTCCTGCCTGGTCTGCTTAAGCGTGGTGTCATCTTTGCAGCTGGCCTGCACAAGGAGATTGCTACCAAGTACATCCGTTTCGGTCACATGGGTGTCAGTGTTACTGACCCCAAGCGTGGTGATGTTGACAATGCCCTGGCGGCGCTCAAGGAGGCTCTGGCTGAGGCCAAGCAGGCTAAGGGCCTGTAAGGGCCGTAGTTAGGTAGCTTCAGTGTAAATTGGATCACTTGGACTTATCTAAAGTAAGCCTTGTAGATTATTTTTTGGGTAAAATTACTGCAATGAATTATTGATCATGAACAATGTCATATTCCAGTTGTAAAAAATGTCATATTCCAGTTGTAAAAACTGCCTTATTGCATAGGAAAGTAACATGGCCTCACTTTGTACATACCTAGGTAGGTCGAAGTGGTTACTATGTACATTGTACAAAGCAATGATCTTTGTTCGCTTCTTCCCTTTCCTACCAACAATATACTGTCTCGACCTACCCCAAACCAGAAACAAACTAACCTGCAGGTACCCGCCGATCCTCCACATTCTGGAATCCTCCCTATTGGCGCGTCTACCCAGACCCAACCTTCCAAGGAAGACCCTAGCCGAAGAATGCACCAGCCATGTAGGAGATTTCGAACAGCCAGTCGCAGTCAAGAATGTAATAATACGCTAGGAATTACTCCGTACAGTTTTCTGTTTCCCCCTGCCAGCTCCTAGTTGGTGTTAGACAAGCCAGAATTGCCAAGGTCCCCTCCCACACCCCTAGATAGCCACGCATTGACCAACCTGCTCTTGCATAGACACGGTTGATATTCAATATTTTGATTGCAGTGCTAGGTTGTATAGATAGATATAACCCAGAAGGCTTTCTAAATCGATCTAGCGGATCTGGGGATTCCATTTCCACATGGGATCTCCTTGTATGGCTTCTGATAGAGTTTCGCCAGAGATGAAGATTGCAGGAATGGAATGTATTGTCTTCAATAGAAATGTAGCACTGGACTACATTTTGCATATATCTGCGTGCCTGTCCATCCCGTGGATGTCTATTCCCTTCTATTAGTCCAATCCATATATAAAATCTCTCAAAATGCATTACTTGAAATCCACCCTCCCATTTATCCTAGCAGCCGCTACTCTCGCCTCCGCGGATACAACATCAACCACATTAGCAGACAGCTCGGTGAATACTGCATGTGCATCAGAAAAGTAAGACCAGCCGATTCAAGTATACATGTCTGCGGACAGTTACGGTTAAATCTATTTCCAGCCGAGCCCAAATACTAATTATTTAACCCAACAGTATCCTACAGTGCATCCAATCAATGCAATCTAACCTGGCGATCTGCGCACCCGACGACTGGAACTGTCAGTGTACTATTAGTACGAATATCTTGGAGTAAGCCTCACCTAACGCCGAGTTATTTTCAAAATTTACCCCATACACCACATCCCATTAACATACTGACACTAATACCACCTAGCTGCTATAACAACTGCCCTGACGACATATCGAGAAAAGACGCCGAGTCCACTCGCCAACAAAATTGTGCTAATGCCAAAGCACACGCGCCGACATCAACAGCTGCATCTGCTACAAGCTCTAGTAGAGCCGCCGCTACGACCAGCACTGATATTGACGACGGAGCTGATATATTCGACTCGGAGGTTGAAAATAATTTCGAGGGACGTCCAATAAAGTCGTATAGTGGGTTGGAGGCCAATTCGATTCCCCGTCTAGAAGAGGGAACTGGTTCTAGTTTGAGGATGGGAAGTTGGTTGGGGGCTCTGGCGCTTGCGGTGGGAGTTCTTTTATAATTCTGGTATTGGGTTGAGGTTCTAGTGTCTTTTGATATTACTGTATGTATACATATACCATACAAAGATTGTCCTAGGAAACATAACGTCATACTATTTCATCTCTGCACATAATGTACTTCATTGTTTTTTCTGGCATTTTCTTCAACCAAGTAACTCAAGAATCAGAAAAACAAGAACCCCATGCTCCGAACCGGGCAGATGAAAAGGAAAAGAAAATCTACATAAGACTGGACTGTTTGGTATCATTCGTAAAAGAACGAAAATTTGTCCTGTAACACGCTAGGCATCCTGCTCAATGACTCGAACAATTTCAGTTCCATTCTTTGTATCTCCAACTGACTCTCCTGCCATCCAGCACAGGATGGTGACCCAGTCGTCCAAGTTGTTTTGCACCCCATCCTTAAAGTCCATGATGGGTGATACACGGACCTGGAGAGCCATGGGGTTCTTCTTGTCGTGCCAGATCTGCAGGACGCGGACTTGGAAATCCGACATCGAAAAGACAGTGATAGGGATATATCGGTGGTCGTTATATCCATCTTCGATTCGGCGTTTGGCGATCAAACCGTAGGAAAGAGATACCTCACCTGAGTTGAGGCGACCAACACGGAGGGGCTGCGAATCGCCTACGTAGGCGTTGATATGGGGCTGAGCTTTATTCATCGCGTTTGTCCAGCCTTCGAGCTTCCATTGGCATTGAGACCGATATATAGAGCCAAGATGATTGCTAGAGAGTACTGTTAGTTAAACAAACAAAGGTGTTAGAGATGGTATAAAAACTTAGGCGATTTACTCTTCATCGGCTATTCGATGCGGTGCATTGTTGCCGAAGAAATTCTGCAGAGTAGCATGCAAAATTCCAATCACATGGCGTGCGTTATGCCATCGCCGGAATTTGTACCTCTCTGGACTATCTTTGATGTATAAACCGTGGATGTCAAATTTATCCCAAGGCTGTTCATGGTTCACATATTCTCTCATTTTCTCATGGGAAAACGGCTTCACAAAGCGTGGGCCATAGTCTAGAGATTCACCGGACGATAGGTCTAGCTCGGTAGTGGTGATGTGCAATTTCTTTTGGTTGCTGCGAGAAAGGAGGAAAGCGAGGAGCTTTCTAGTAGCGTTGTGGCAGGATTTGACCCAAATCTGACCTTCGTCCCACTGTGTCGTTTGGGACTTATTCTCTGATGTGTTAGGCTCCATACTTGTGCGCCGGATGGTCACAATAGTATGGTAGGCGTTGAAGTTTGCTAGAGGGTTGTCGAAAAGAGGGACAAGAGCCCTGGGTCCAGGACAGCTTTATGGCTGATGTGGTAAGGCTAAAACCTGCTGTTGATCTTCTTACGCGCCTTGTCCTTTGTTTATCTTTGTTGTGATGATTGGTTGGTGTTGATTAATGTTGGTTGGTGTTGATTAATGTTGGTTGGTGTTGATTAATGTTGGTTGGTGTTGGTGATGGTTGGTGATGGTATGGAACGCGGGTTGGCCAGCATAATGTGTTTGGTTCTTTTGTTGCTTTGCGGTAGACTTAGCCGCTACACAGTTGACATATTTTTTTGTACCTATGTTTTTGCTTTTCTGTGCTAATTTAATTTTGCGTATGCTTTGTTTTTCCGTTCTCTTTTTTTTTTATGGTGGCATACTCTAGGGGATGAGCTTATTGAGATGTGGTTTAAAATAAGAAATTTGGGTGAGATTTATAGATCTCCATCTCATGAACTAATATCCGCCACTGTTGAGAAGGCTGCCAAAGATGCTATCTTTCCGATCACTCAGAACCATGGGCTTATCCATCTCAACCACCTTCCCCTGATCTAGACCGACAACCATATCACAAGTCAAAAGAGTGTGAACCCGATGTGCAACCGCAAGGATCGTGCACGTGCTAAAGGGTTCCTGCTTCAGAAGGTCTTGCACACGAGCGTCGGTTTCCATGTCGACGCTGCTGGTGCCTTCATCAATTAACAAGATCCTAGCGTTGCTTGCTTGTATCTTGAGCATTGCCCGAGCAAGCTGTAGTAGCTGTTGCTCGCCTCGAGATAGCGATAGAGTGTCGTTTATTTCGGCATCTAGCCCTCCCCTTTCAAGAAGCACACCATTCCAGAGTCCAACTCGGTCGAGAGCCGCGATGATGTCTGTGTCGGGGATGCTTTCGGTGGGATCTAGATTGAATCTGACTGTACATCCAACCATGATGAATGGTGCCTGGGAAATGGTGACAAGTCTTTCGCGGACTTTATCAGGGGAAAGAGTAGCGATGTCAATGTCGTCAATGATGACTGAGCCGGTGGTCACGGTGAGCATGCCCAATAATGTCGACAGCAAAGAGCTCTTTCCACTAATTATGGGAAGTCAGTTACACTATTAATCAACACACCAACTAGGGTTCTCAGGAAGACGATGCTTACCTCCCAGTACGTCCGTAGATACCGATCTTCTGGCCTGGCAAACATTTTAGCGAGACATTGCTTAGTACTGTTGTTTCAGGACTGTTCGTGGCTTGTTAGTAATGCGAATAGAAGTGGCGATGGCTCGTATATCTTGGGGAACACATACTTGTACTGCGCAGCCATCCCCGAAATCTCAATAGCTCCCTGACTTGGCCAGCCGACCGGAATTTCTTGCTCAGTTGAGTTTTCACGTGGCACTGTGTTCTCGAAATCTTTGACACGTAAAATTGAGCCAAGGGATATTTCCAATTGTGTCCAACCCGATATGAGAGATGAAAGACTACCGTTGAAGGCTTCGTGGAGACGAGTCAGCTGGAGGGATCACGACAAAAAAGGGGTAGCATTGTCAAATTAAAATGCAATATAAAAGACATACCGAGAATGCTGTTCAGCGATACTCCAAGCAATCCGACACTCGTACTATGTCTTAAAGACACTGCCAAGCTGACAACAATGACCGCTTCGGCAGCGACGATGAGGTCCAAGACTAAGGTGAGCCAGCGCTGAATGCAATTAAGCATATAATAAGTGCGCTGGGTAACATCCAACAATGTCGAATTGGCAATTTGAAAGTCTGCTTCCCAGCCGAATGCCTGAATTGTAGCAAGACCCTCGACAGTATCAAGAAGATGGGAGTACAACGGACTTCTGCTTTCCAGGTCCAGTAGTCGAAGTTGTCGTGATGTCTTCAGATAGAAATGTTGCAAGAGATAGACGGAAATGATCAGGAAAGGCACGGTTATTGCCATGTACTTCGATCCAGTTGCAATTAGTGCCGCACTAGCAATTGATGCAAAGAGATCTGGATTTGTTAGCAATAATACCGATAATTGACGACCGATAGTAGAAAGTCTTTCCGGAGGCAGAGTGGAATGGAAGGGGTCTTACTTGAGACTGTGATCAAGATGCCAATAGGCAAATCGGCTTCTACCAGGGTCATATCCTGGCTAAATCGGTTTAGTATTGACCCGATGTCGACATTGGCTAGGAATTGAGGCGTGGCCCTTCAGATGTCAGCAGTTAACCGAGATACGAGAGAGGAGAACTGAATGTACCTCATGAAAGTCTTCAGCACGACATAATGAAGCCGGCGGCCTGTTGAGGGCGAGATCAGGATGAGGATAGCCCTATCATTTTGTTAGCAGCCAATAATAATTTTTCATCGAACAGAACGCTTCACCAAACATAACCACCATTTCCGATGGTGTTGCAAATGGCGAGGAAGAAATATATCGTGACATAGAGTGCTTTTTGACCTCCACCGCGGTCAGCCCATCGCTGAAGCCAAATCTCTGGTAGAAAATTCATGTCAGTGATATCGGGAGTAGCGCAAGTGAGAATTCACGTACCGCTGTACGAGCTAGCGAAGACATTCATTGTCACGAAGAAGACGAAGATCATAGCGTTCTTCCACCCAACGTAGCGCAGATAATACTTATAGACAGCAGAGTCCCCTGCTGACCTCCGGAGATCTTCGATCTCATTCTCCTCTGAAATCATGGCAGCTTTATCCTCTGTCGCTAGCTCTATGAGTCCCGTGGATTCCTCAGCTTCCACGGCATCAGACTTCGGTTCTTTGTAGACATTCCCCTCGCGGGGCTCTTCCTGGCGAAGAAGCCCATCCGAAAGAATATAAAGCTGATCTGCACAAGGCAGTTGCTCCACTAGTAGCGTGTTAGCTTGTAATAGGCGACAAAAAAGTCTCAGAGAGTGCCCTACTCTCATGTGTTACCAAAACTATGGTCGAGTTTGATTTTCGGAGCAGTCCATCAACTCCCAAAAGACGCGCTATGATAGTGGTCTTTGTCTTCCTGTCCAATGCACTGAATATGTCGTCCAATAGCAACAGTTTCCTGCGAGAGTATACCGCTCGAGCAAGAGCGATGCGATGCATTTGACCACCACTCAGTCCATGGCCAGATCCGTGTCCAATTCGCGTAGCGTCTCCCTCGCGAAGTAGATCCAGGTCCGAATTGAGGGCACATGCGTGAAGAACAGTCGCGTACCAGTTTTTGTCAAATGTATTCTCTTTTGCTGGAGCAGCCGAGAAGGCCCCACAGATTGCATCACGGATGGTGCCACTTGGAAGCCACGGTGTTTGCGCGCAGAAGGCCGGTCGTCGAATGTTTACTGTCATAGATCCTGTCTCGCAAACTGCTTGTCCAAGTATACCCCGGAGCAAGGTCGATTTGCCTGATCCAACTGGTCCTTGGATGATGACCAGTGCTCCGATCGGGACTTGTAAATTAACATCGCTCAAGATGTTCTTTGTTGATTGGAAGGGGCGAATGCTGATATTTTGCATGGAGATGACCGGTGTTTGAAGGCCAGTAGTGTCTGATGAGTCCTTAGGAGTCATGTATTGCATTTCGACGATGTGCGAAGATATATCGACCTTAGTTTCCTTCGTACCAACAAGGTCCTTCCCGGTGTGTTGAGGATCGGTTGCCAGCAGAAGAAATGCCTGCACTCTATCAAAACATCCTGTCGCAGCCGCTATGGAAGGAATCGCGCTGAGTAGCTTAGAAGCTGGATCAGATAGAAGGGTTATGATTGACAGACTGCTGAATGCCTTGGTAGCATCCAGTTCGTTTCCTTGAGCAGCGTAGACGGCTAAAGTCAAAGCTGGAGCAAATGCCCAAGGTAGATTGTGGATCATATTCTTCCAGACCACACTCCATCGATACTTAGCCATTTGACGTGTTTCGTAGACTCTTTTCCTCTGTACCAGCTGAATAAAGGTCTGACCTAACCCAGTAGCCTTGACTGTTTGGATACTGTCCAGCATTGAACTGGTAATCGCAATGCGTTGCTGCACGGCATCCACCCATGTCTTTTGGTGTCCTCCTATATACTTCGCAATATAAATAGTTCCTCCGCTGGAAACTATTATCAAGATTTAGAAATTGTAGCCACCCGTGAATCGAGAATGAAATCCTTACTGAGAACGACCACCAATGGCATCACGCACACCCACCCCAACCGAAGCGCAAGTAGCGCAATGCCAATGCCCACCTCAATTGTCCGCGCCCAGGATTCATTCAAAGTAGTCAAGCAGTCGATAATCCGGTCAACGTCGGTGTTCATTAGAGTAATTGTGGCAGAACGATCCTCTAGGGTGCCATCGCGGATGTGCAAGGAATGGTCGTAGATCATCGCCGAGGCTGCCCCTCGAAACATTGTCACAAACCGATACAGCATCTGGTCGTATGCGAGATTTGAGATGGCCATTCCCAAATATATTAGAACTGTGGCGCCGATGAGGCCGTAACCGGCATTGTTCTCGCTATCTGGGTTATCAAGCCAGCTGAGAACAGATGCGATCAAGAAGGGCTGCGAGAAGGTAAACCCGATCAAGAATAGGCGTGGAATTACCATTAGAGCAAGTGTACCCTTGAAAGCTCGGCCTATTTGCCACGGGAATTCGAAGCGGCGCTCGAGATGCGGGCGTTGAGCCCAGGCTCTCGATGCCGTCTGCGCAGTTTCGGCGGACTCCAATGGCTTGTCCAGATGATCAAGATCCTCAATAGTAAGCAAATTTCGAAAGCCTATGGCAAACAGACGGTTCAGCCACCACATGAAAGATCGATTGACAATTCCACTTGTCGACTCTGGTGGAAGATCTTGATAGGAACCCATTAGGTGTTTCTGCTTCCCCAAGCTCTCGAAAAGCACCATTGCTGTTTTCGCAACAACATTTACGGTGAAGAGACTAGGAATCAGGGAACTTCTGTGGGAATTCCTGTGGGATAACCACAAAGTTCTTGTCTGCACAATATCGAAGAGTAATGTGAAGACAAGGTAGATGGCGAGGAGTGATGACGGTTTAACCGATCGCTGATCTTCCACCCACGACAAGACCACAATCTCCATTGCCAATACCAGATTTATGGCACTCAATGCCACAGAGATCTTTGTAATAGGCTGAGCCTTTCTTGCCCAGCTGATGAGCAGGGCAAGTTGAATCGCGGCGAAAACCAAGGCAATTATCTAAGGTGAAATCGATGTTACCTCCTGTTTGAGTGCGCGATTAGGGATGTAAAATTGCTTACCAGCTTTGCCAATCTCATTATGTGAGGCCGAGTCCGGACATCTTTCTTAACCAAGATTTGCAATCGAAGAGGGCAAACGAGAAGGAATGCGACCGCAGGAATAAGGCCAAATATGGCTTGCTCGAACAATAGCGTGAAATCAAAGCCATCACGACACCCATGAGCTATCACAGGGCCAAAACTGTTGTCAGCCTGCAGTGAGCACCCTGGAGTCATGATGTCGTGTATTCTTTTTCGCTCTTGTTTTGTTGAAAATATGGAGCTCGAGGGAAGTACACTGCTTTTTTAAGTAAGCTAACAAACCCCTGTTCGCCCACACCTGTCACCTACCACGCAATCGCCGCCTTGTGATTGGTGAGTTCATATAGATTTGATGATAGCATTAACGTCAATCGCACACAATTAATGTTTTTTCTTTTTTCTTTTTTCTTTTTTCTTTTGTATGTCGATACTGTTATTATGACCAAACTGTCGAATAAGCGAACAAGCAAAGCAAAAAAAAAAGCGCTCATGTTCATCAAACGATGTATATCAACTTTGGATTCTCTATACCTCTATGTTGTAATAGGAGAGAAATGATCTTCCCGGACGCCCGTCGTATTCCGTCTGGGTCCACCAAAGTACCCCGGGAAATCATTTGATCTGCGCCGATCTTTGACCGTTTAGGACCCCGATCGTCAACCATCTGGGACCCCGATTTTCGACCGTTCGGGATCCCGATCATTTACTTCCTTTATCATTAATACAGGCACGCCTAGTACTAGGAGAGCTAGATCGCTTTTACCAGTATAATAATCCCGACCGGGATATTGCAAATATATTAAAGATCGATCTTGATTTACTATACCTTGACGGCTACCCGAGGTTTCTTTCCATATACTTTGGAAGCTAGGTTTCGACATCGGCAAGTTTTGCAAAGACCTACCTTATATTCCGTTTTATATTAGTTATAAACAAGGTGTAGGGAACTCGTATATTCCGGATACCTAGTAAATAAAAGAGTATATGTACAATCTAGTCACGCCCTATACTAGAACGCTACTAGCGAACATGAGCAGCCCAATTATGTTCATTCCCTCTTCCATGTTCAATTCAAGACTTCCAAACTTCACTCGTTTCTAGCATTAGACCTCATTTTTGGACCTTTCCACTGGTGCCGCCCGCGAACAATCCAATCCCCACAGGCAAATAACATAACAAAACCAAGCACAGGCCCAGCATAGTTCATATTCTCCGCGGTAACCGGCACCGTTGCCGGGAATGGAAGGAAGATAACGAAATAGCTGGAGAAGAGAATAGCAAGAAGATTCATGGGGAGGCCGAATTTCCCTAGACTAAATGTTCCTTGCGGGATATTCCAGGGCGACGTGAAGCGCTTTAACACAAGCAGTATAAGAGGGATAAGATAGGAAATATAGAGACCGAGAGTGCTGAGCGAGAGAACAGCGTTGAATGCAGCCGTAGACCCGATCTGAATGAATGAGAGCACGAAGGTGCATGATGCAACTAGGCATAAAGCACGGAGGGGGATTTTGTAGGTTGGATCGACTACGGAAAAGAAGTCGGAGAAGGGGAGACCATTGTCTCGAGCGAAAGCCCAGGTGAGACGCGTGACCGAGGCGAGACCGTTGAAGAGGGCGATCCAGCCGGGTAGCATGCCCATTGCCATGAGGACGAAAGTGGCTGGCTTGGAGCCGGTTGCTTGGTAGGCGATGGTAATAATAGGGTAGCCTGTTGGGCTGGTGACTGCTTCGGTGTAGTCGCCCATGCAGTAGAGGATGGCGATCAGGTAGGAGAATGCGAGGGCTCCGTTGATTAGGGTGCCGTAGATCATGGAGCGGGGAACAACAACTTCGGCATTTTTGATTTCTTCGGCCATGTGGATTACGCCGTCGACTCCTGTTGGTATGTATTAGATTGTGCGATATTCTGATGGTGGAGGAACGCACCAGATAGGGGAGTAATGACACCCAGAAGACCGACGGAGAATACAACTCCGGAATCCTTCCAGCCACTCAGGCCGCCGACAAAAGTGTCCCAGACAAACTAGTCGGGGTTTCGAGGGGCGAGAATAACGAAGACTGCGATGGTGACGGGTAGGAAGACGACATGCATGATACCCGCAGCAACCTCGATGCCTCCTAGAACCCGACGCGCAAATATATTGATGATTATCGGGATAACTGCAACTGCCCACATGAGCAGTGTACCGCGCCACCTCACAAGCTCATATTCAGGGTGTGCCAGCACAACCATACCCTGGATTTCGGTTCCGATAAAGTAAGGTGCAATACAGACAAGCGCCGACCAGCTAAAGACAGTAATCCAGCCTGGTATGTTCAGCATGCGACTATAAACGAAGGAAAATGACAAGGAGTGCCACTCACCCTGGAAGAAACTAATGAATCGACCACCACGAGGCGCGAGGAAATAGCTCCAGTGATATTGAGCACCCGCAGTTGGGTGTCTATGGGTCTCGAGGTCAGCGCTGTCAGGTCGCGGTCATTTGTGCACGTACATAGAGGCAAGCTCAGCTAAAGAGCATGCAATGGCCATATTACCCACAGTGCTTAGGATAATCCCATAAACAATCGCTGCAGGGCCGCCGTTGTACAGCCCCGAGAGCAAACTACCACCGGCAGATTCCCATGTGGCAAGCAGGCAAGTGGAAAATGCGACCGATGAGAAAAAGTTGAGATACCTCTGTTAAAAGATTAGAGTCTGCGAAGGTCAATTGGATGCTGGATATTTACCTCCAGTTGTTGTTTCTGGTGCGATGTACCGCCCTCATAGGCATCATTCCTACTCCCTACTGGTACTGATCGCACAGCACTTCCGCTCTTCATTTCCATATCTTCCTGTATATTGAAACACGATTGAGGACAGAAAGCCCAGAGAGAAAAAGTCTACAGAAAATAGGCCAGTCAGCCCGAAGACGGCAAGAAGTAAGGCTATATTTACCTGATCATTTCCGTTAATAGAGACTAGACAGGGGTATTTATTGCACAATCAATACGAAACAGGTAGTTGAGACTTTAGATGCGAGTTGTTGCGTCGCGTTGTAACTTCCTGTTAGCTTCGGGGCAAACCCTTGTCGTCTGCATTCTGATCATGAGACTGGTGCTGCTTAGTGCTGGATCTAGACTCGATACAGACCGGACGCCAAGCAGAAACCCATATCGACAGTATACGAATCCGGTAAGGTGGGTAGGACCTATTGTAAAGCCAGATATTCCTAGCTACTCTGTGCTAGGAACTACTAAGATACCTAAGTACTAGTGGGATAATACCCATCCTTTCAGTTTATGCGTATACAAGAATAATCGGCCGCGTTTGCAGCCTTGTGATATCTTTTTACATTTCTTTTGAGGTGTCTTTTTGGTTAGTATTTTTAGATGTACATGAAGGCGATAAAAAAGCATACTTCGTGCAAAAGACTTTTCTATATAAAACCAAGAGACAAGGGAAAAAGGGGAATACTCAAGGCAGTTTAAAAATATTAGATACGCTGTAGAAGAAAGGCTTTACAATACGTCCTATCCACCTTACCGGATTCGTATGGTCCGCTGTTGATGTGGGTTTCTGCTTGGCGTCGGGCGTGCACCCTGAAGATCACCGCTGTCCCGCAAATTTAAGGCCCAGCCTCCGCGCTTTGTCGTTGGCTGCTAAGGTTGCCTCGTACAATGTACAAGAGCTAATCTCTTCTAGTGGCTACGCCTTTTGAACCCCGTAAACTCGGCCCCACCGGAGTGGTCTCATACTACTCCGTATTGGTACGGCGATTGAACAGAGTGTACTCCGTACCCCATGCTGACAGGATTTGCACCCATGCAGCAGATGATATGCAATAGTGCCACACCAAACCAACAGCCCTCGTGTCGCTCCCTTGTCAGTGGGTGCCAGATTTGAAGAAACAACAAGGGTTGTAAATGTCCAACAGAAAGGACTTTAAGTACCAGGGATGTGGGAAAGAAAATTTTTATCATTTTTATCATATGGCTGGTACCCATCTCCGCAGATTTTGAGACCATTGAAGTCGATGGCATGATACGATGACCGACCAAAAGCCCGCCTTCCAGGCGCTGTCAAGCGATAATCGCGGTGCTCTCATCACCTTGACCTCGGTGTGCCTCCTGATTGTGGCCATAATCTTTGTGCTGGCCAAATTCAGTTCGGTGATTTATTTTAAGCAGCGACGGACAGCAGTCAATACTCCCATCTGGGTCGCTTTGATTATTGCAATTGTTCAAGTCGTTGTCTTGCAGAAGGCTGTTGACCATGGACTGGGAAAGCATCAGGACCGGCTTAGTGGAGGTGACATTCAAGCCTGGAACAAGTTCGCTTTTGCTGCTCACATCCTGCTCATCGTTGTCTTGTCGCTTTCGAAAATCTCGACCATCCTGTTGGTTTGGAAGTTAACGCCGAGCAAGAGCCTCGGTCACAGCTGTGCTGTCACCGTTGGTATAGTTGTCGGGTGGTTGATATTCGCAGTGTTGAGCATAGCTTTCCAGTGTGAATTGCCTGATGTGTGGCTATACTCCCCCGAGCGATGCGCTGGAGAGGTCAGTATACACCAACAAACCGATCCATAATTGACTTAACACATTTATCTGATTCTGAACAGGGAGCCCTGTTGTACCCGATCGCTGTCTTCAACATTCTCACAGAGATTGTAATTGTTGTCCAGCCGTTTATTATGATGCGGAATGTCCAGATGGCCTGGGACAAGCGGGTGAAAATCTTGTGCTCCTTCTCTTTGCGCCTAATGTATCTTAGCACTAACTCCAGGAACTTTCCTTCGAATTCAATAACTCATTGACTAACTTGTAAAAGTGTTGTCGGCCTCGGAATCGCCCAACTAGCCCTCCTACCTTCATTCACCCACTCGGCCGATATCTCCTGTCCGTGAAACCCCCCATTCCCCGTCCAACTCCTGCTAAAGCCTCATTAAATTAATCTGACAAATATCAAGGGGAAATTGTAATTTGGGAAACAATGGGGCAGGCAATGATGCTCATATCCGTCATAATCGCCTGCGTCCCAACGCTCTACCACATCTTCGCCGGCCTGCACTCTGGCCTGACCACAACCCAGATCCCCGGCGAGATCGGGCTCGAACTCCCGCAGACCAAGGGCAGCGGGTATATTAACCAATTCTCATCGGGAGGAAGCCAGTCGCATTCGCGGTCGAGGAATAATAGACGGTCAATGTTTGATGGATGGGGAGATCAGACCGGGGTTTTCACTGAGGTTTCGTCGGGCCGGGATCCAAATCATAATGATGTGGGTGTTAGGCGGTCTAATTCAAGCGAGGGGACTGAGAGTACGCGGCACTTAACGCAAGAACTCCAACGGAAGGGAGCCGTGCTAAGGACGGTGAATGTCACGGTAGAGGTTGAGGAGGACTATCATCGGGACCGGCTTTGAGATGTATATACAACATGGTTGGCCGCTTATGCGACCCTTTCATATATTTTGATGGTCTTTTTGCACGTTCTTTTCTATGTATTCATAACATGAATAGCAGGTTAACCATGTACATCCCCAATCCTTATGAGCTGAAGGCCTTGCGGAATAATCTTTTGCCGCTCCACCAATAGGCTCAGTACGTTGAAAGCCGCTTGTCTCGACGAAGAGCCATGACAGTATTCTAGAACTAGGTCGGTCTAGCCTGTGAACGGGCGTACATAGGACGATCACGGAGTGTGCGAAGCCGAGAGTAGTTGATAATATGCTCAGCCCTGTTTAGGCATAACGCGTCACCATGAACGTAGACAAATTACTCGGCTTCAAGTATCGATAGGTCCTAAGAGTGGGACTAGTGTACGAAACCCCTGGCTTTAGATGAGTTTATGGGTGATTTAAATGCCAAGCCTCGGGCTCAAGCGGACATTCATGCCAAATACGGAGATGTCGCCCGAAGTAGGTAATCTATATCCCGGCCCGCGCGTCGATCTGTTGCCAAGTTTGATTTCTTTTCTTTAGTTCTGCAGAATCGCCACAGACAATCCTATGGGTCCGACTTGTTTATCTTTAGACGCGTCACCATTAATGATCCTCGAGGATTTCGGTGAATAGCAATCTAGCGCAAAAGTAGAATGTTGTCCGAGATTAATCAGACCCGTACAACATAGTGGTACTAATATAAAGTGCCTCGACGACCACAGCCGGTGTCGAATGATTAACAATATCTACTCTCCGAATTGGACTCCGCACGTTTCTTAGGATTTCAAGGAGGATGAATCAACTCTTATCATTTCTTACATTGGCCAGCGTGGCCTATGCCACTTCTCTGGGCAGCGCATGCACAGTTTCTCGCATCCGCGACTCGCTGCCTGAGAACAACTACATTCTAGGCGTCACCTTTGGCCATGATTCAGTAACTGCCAATGCTGTCTACAACTCCTCCCACTCTGACGGCACTTTCTTCCCCGACGCGACGATCGACTTCTGTAATGTCACATTCTCCTACACCCACAGTGGATTGGATCAGACAGTGATCGTCGGCTATTACCTGCCCGCACCCGGTAACTTCAAAAACCGCTTCCTTGCTACTGGAGGTGGTGCCTATGCTATTCAGTCCGGTTCGATGTCTGCACCTGGTGGCGTGATGTATGGTGCTGCGTCCGGCTTCACCGACGGAGGATTTGGCAGTATGGATACCGACTTTGATGAAGTTTTCCTGCTCAGCAATGGTACAATAAATTGGCCGATCGTGTATATGTTTGGCTACCAGGCTATCAAGGAGATGACCATTATCGGCAAGCAGCTCACCCGGAACTTTTATGACGTGTCCAACAGCACCAAGGTCTACTCGTATTACCAGGGTTGCTCTGAGGGAGGTCGTGAGGGATGGTCTCAGGGTCAGCGCGCTGGTGAGGAGTACGATGGCTTGATTATTGGTGCCCCGGCCTTTCGTTATGGCCAGCAGCAGGCTAACCACCTCTATTCGAACATTGTTGAGAAGACTTTGGATTACTACCCTCCGCCATGCGAGCTCGAGAAAATTATGAACGAGACGATTTCCGCTTGCGATCCCCTGGACGGTCGTAATGACGGTGTGGTCTCGCGTTCCGATCTCTGCCAGCTGCAATTTAATATGAGTTCGATCATCGGCCAGTCATACTACTGTGCTGCGTCCACCGCTAGTAGCCTTGGTCTCGGATTCGGCAAGCGTCAAGCTGCCTCAGCCGAACCTGCCCAGAACGGCACTGTGAGCGCCGAAGGTGTGGCTGTGGCCCAGAAGATTGTTGATGGACTGTTTGATTCGAAGGGTCGCCGTGGGTACATCTCTTACCAGATGGGCGCTGATTTCAATGACGCTCAAACGGCCTATAACTCAACCACTGACGAGTGGGAACTGGTATGGTTTTACTCTTTTTCAATGATGATTATGTCGACCTTGTACTAAATATTACAGAGCATCGCTAGTTCAGGCGGTGAATGGGTTTCCCGTTTCCTGGATTTGAAGGACGAAGACAACATTTCCACCTTGGAAGGTGTGACATATGACACACTCGTCGGCTGGATGAAGGAAGGAATGACCCGCTACATGGACTCCCTCCAGACTACTCTTCCAGACTTGACGACATTCCATGAGAACGGTGGTAAGGTCATTCACTACCATGGCGAGCAGGATAGTTCGATCCCCACCGGTTCTTCTGTCCACTACTATGATTCTGTTCGTCAGACCATGTACCCGGGCAAGTCGTACAATGCTAGCAACAACGAACTTCAGGAGTGGTACCGTCTCTTCCTGGTGCCCGGAGCTGCTCACTGTGCTAGCAACAGTGCTCAGCCCAACGGACCCTTCCCTCAGACTAACTTCGAGGTTATGGCTCGCTGGGTGGAGCAGGGCATTGTACCTCAAACTTTGAACGCTACGGTTCTCTCAGGTGATAACAAGGGCTCAAATGAGCAGATCTGTGCCTGGCATCTTCGTCCCTACTGGAAGGATAGCGGAAAAACCTTGACCTGCGAGTACGATCAGGCTTCGATTGACACTTTCACCTATTCCTTCGATGCCTACAAGACGCCTCTGTACTAAGCGCTTGTTCTGGTTTTGGAGATCCCTACATGCTATATTCACACGTTGTCTTCAGACTGTCTTTACACTGTACTATATTCCATAGAATTTTCCCTATCTATCAAAAGATGGAAAAATAACTGTACCACTCCCACGCATACCATATCTGTTGCTCGGGGTAATTTAACAAGATTGCTTGTTCCGTCTTTTCTGTACCTGTAGAACAGGGTAAATAGTACGGCAGATTATATTCTCAGGGTCATCCCTCCCCGTTGGCTCAACGCGCCAGGCAACAATTTTAAGTGACGAAAGCTTGATCTAAAGGTCATAAACTGGGCTTCAACTGCGCTCCTCTTGAATCATGGGACGAGAATAGGCGAAGAAGGGCGCAGTGCCCAAATACATCTTGAAAAATGATTCATCTTCGTGCTACAAACGTCACCGAGAGTGCCTTAGCGCATACTGTGCTGGGCACTCTTATACGTTAGCCTCATAAATGAAGCTAACCAGTTCCAAACACACATTGTTGGGATTTGTGCTCACCTTCCTGTTCGCTTCTTCTTTTCCCCTCAGCAGTTATCTATCAATTTCAATAAAGTCGTATTGCTCTCCCTCCTCTCCTAGATTCTCAAGACATATGCATGGTATCCCTACCTAAAATTATCTAACGATCTTACTACTAGCTAAAGGAATTGATCTTGTATTATTGTCGCTATTTATAGGTTAAGATAACTTACATAGAGAAGGGGGATAGTTATAAAGATAACCCTCCATAGCCCAAGGCCCTAATTGGCCCCTTAGGATTCTTTATTATAATATTCTTTATACTTCCAGGGGTAAGGGTTTTATTTTTTTCTAACACTCAAAACAGCCTTTTCATTGCTAAACATACCGCGCGGTCATCCTACTCAATCTGTAACTCTTCTCGTGTCAAATTTGTCCATTATAGAACTAAACCTTCCAATGTCTTTTCCATTGCCCTGTCGATAACTGAGGGCAGTGATATGTCTTTCTTTGCAGTCTCGGGCGTCAGGGTCGCGCCTAGGTTGACCTTGTCATATTCTGCGCTTTTGTTCAACTCACGGCAAGGAGACTTCATTCGACGACACTTATAACCCGAATCTTCCTCTTCTGATTGTCCATCTCGTCTTGCAGTCTTCCCTGTATCGGATAATGCATGACTGATCAAATTTTAATTAAAACGAGTGCGAGTGCGGCCACAGGGCACATCATCATCAGAGCAAGACCGGAACGGCTTACGGCTCACTTCTTCTTTTCTCTCTTTTTAGCTGAACCGTTCGCGCTCCTCAGACTTTGTGCGATCTTTGTGCTGGGAGTCAATCATTCCACGTATTGGACACACTATCGCTCAGCTGAAAGGGTCAATGCGACTTGAGGGTGGTTCTCGCCCGGCTTCTCACCCTTCCAAACCTCACCTTTCCAATCTCTTTGTATCATACAATCCTCTTCTACATGTAACCTAATACATACGACCATAGGGTGTGGAAAACAGGGCTTCCCGTCCGCTCAGCCGTACTTAAGCCACACGCCGGTGAGTTAGTAGTTGGGTGGGTGACCACCAGCGAATCCTCACTGTTGTATGTTTTTGCTTTTGTCTTATTTTTGGATATCGCCTACTGGGTATATATACCACACGAAGGTACGGAGCAGACTAGTCCAAGGTTCGGTATAACTGTAATTTATTGTATTAGAAATTACAAACCACGAAATAAAATACAGCCATAACACTCTCCTTACAACTGCTTATCAGCTCGCGATAACAACTCATACGAACATTCTCCATGCAAGCTTCAACATCCTTCCAACTCTCCCCGGGACGAATTGCCCTAGTAATCCCCTACTATGGCCAAGGAAACAAAAGCAAGGACATTACATGTCCAGCCTGAGAAAAGCCAAGACCACCCAAATCACGGAGAGGATGACAACAAACATGTATCATTCCATCCGCGCCATATCACCCTTGCGACATTCCACAAGCTACTATCACACTATCCCTCGACCGTAGAACGAGTGCACCGTGCTAAGTTGATGCTGAAGCTGCAGTCCAAGGCGGGGAAGGGATCAAAGCGCAAGGCGGAGACGAAGACCACGAAGGCAGAGCTCGATCCGTCCGAGGAGAAGCATACCCTCGAAGAGACAAATAAGTTCCTCCAGCTTGACCGGTGGCGGTATGAAGTCCTGCCGAAGATTATCGCGGACCGGGCAAATGAGGGTGGTCAGAAAGGAAATGCGCCGGAGGGAGCACACTTGCTCAAGGAGGAGTTGGTTGATATTATGGAATGGAAGACGTGAGTAACAATTTGCTGTATACTACAGGTCCAACTTTGTCTGACTTTCTTCTAGGAAACATGGAGTCTCTCGTCCCATGCTCATGGGAATGGTGAAAAGCAACCAAGTCGCGACGATCACCAAGTCTACATCTACGGCTTTCGCCACCCTCCCAGATGCAGATCCTGTGGTTGCGCCGAACGATGCATTCCCTAAAGCCAGTCTAGACGCCCTTACTGCGCCTATCCGTGGCGTCGGCCCGGCTACTGCATCCTTGATTTTGTCCATCGCCACGGTCTTCGGTGATGCTAAGAAACAAGTCCCCTTTTACAGCGACGATGTGTATCTTTGGCTATGTCTGATGGATTTTCCAGAGGGGCAGGACTCCACGGAGCAGAAGCCTTCTAAACATAAGAAACCTAATGGGGAGTTGATTGCCAAGTACAATATGAATGAGTACAGAGACCTGTGGGATGCCTCACAGGAGCTGCGGGCACGGCTGAACAATGACGTTGGAAAGAAGTCTGGGGATGGACCTGTCTCGTTCATCCATATTGAGAGGGCTGCTTATGTGCTCCGCAATCTCACTGTCTCGGATTACTATGCTGGTCAAGAACCCGAGCCTGGTTTAGATACTGTGAAAGATATGGCATCGGTGAATAACCAGCTTCCAGAGGATTCAAGGAAGAATCCTGGCGAGCTTGGCACGAGGCGCAGCAAAAGGATAAAGCAAGAATCCATGTGACGACAGCTGTATATTATTGAGGATTGTGCTTTTTTTCATGCCACGGGCATTTTCATGCTTTCGGCTGTAAAATGAGAATATAAAGAATCATTTCAAGGGAGATCTAAGAAGTTATCAAAAGACATTGTGGTATTATCCTCGGTATGACCCCTCTTATATCATATCCAAATAGATTATATCGCGCCTTCCGAGATTCGTTTATGACGAGCACCTTCCATTTCTAGTCCTTTTGATCCGATTGAATCACCAAAGTTTCAAAGGCCGAATTGTTGGGTTCTTCAGGACACATTATCTGGGGATGTTTCCGGAGGGGAGAGCGACTCAACAGTCATAGAGGACTTTTAGATTGATATAGAGATTTAGTTGCTTTGCGATTTCTTAACTGTGTCAACTACATTCAGGCTAATTACTTTATCTTGCTGTTTTGGATTGCATTTTCTACCTCGGGAACATTTGCGAGGATCAAGTTTGGGATTTCACTTATTAAATATCAATGCATTATCTGTCTTCAGGTCCATGTTGAGTGGGAAGCAGGAAAGATACTAGCCGGAGTAATTGCTTCCTTCGATTCATATTTGATATGGAGAAAGAGAAGGAGAAACATATTAATCCGTCTTCCAATAATTGAATGAGATGGTCGAGATATATACACATAATTCAAAATACCTTTTGTATATAAATCTAATAGCAAAGGTACTTGTTGCATTCGGCCCAACCCCCTTGAGGAGTTAGGCGTGCGCTGAGCCAGGTACTTGGAGAAAGTTCAGATACTTACATGTAGTATCAAGTACAATTCAGTAGATGGTACAAGGCATGGATCTACACTACGCCGGTATATAATAATGACTACGAAGTACGTGCCATTCAATCTACATATTCAAAACCACGTCTATGCCAAACCAGTCGCATTTTTTTTTTTCAAACTCATCGCTATGTACAAATTCACGGGCGTCAAGTCTTCATTAAAAGCAGATATCAGATACAGGAGACGCATGCATCACAAGAATAAGAATGGGGGTTGGGGGGAAAGACACAAGAAAATCGTCAGATCATGCAATCCATGCATCACGGGCCATCGTCAAGATGGTCAGTTTTTCCAGTGAATTGTGTTTCGACATGACGGAGGGGGGTGGGAGAGATAGAAGTAATGGCGAAGGGTGGAGATAGGTAGGATTGAGGAGACATGATGTCTACCGTTGAAGGGAGAATGGGGAAGAGATGAGAGAGGTCGGAACGGTAATGGCACTGGGTAAACAGTCGCAGTACAGATCGGATCGAGTCGCGTTAAATGATAGCAGGGTGTTGTACCCCGGGTTTTTTTAATAAGTTTTTTTCATATAATGAACAGTGATTTGCGATTACCGTTTGGACGGATTGGGCTTGCGCTCAGCAGCACGTTTGGCCTTGGCAGCGTTTTCCGCGGAAGAGGAATAGGGATAGCCCACGTGCTGATCATCGGTGTCACTGAATGGGACGATTGATGACATCTTCTTGGAGCGACTGCGCTTCAATGGCTGGGACAGAGGTGGTCCAGATTGCGGCGCAGGGCTCGCGAGGGAAGGCCCCGGCTTGGCTTCGGCGCCAGCTGATGGGGCAGCAGCGCGCTCATCGTCTTCAACATGGATGTGACGGAACTCCTGTTCCTGCTCATCTGCTTCGGACGGCGCAGGACTGTCGGAGTCAGAGGCCGCCTCGTAATCATCTTCATCATCACTGACTAAGCTGGGGGCTTGGTTGGATTCGATGGCGTGAGGACTGAGGGTTTGATGATCCAGGCTGTCCGATTCCCGAGACTGCAGTGTTTGGGATTGGCCAGCGAGCGAAAAGTCTAAAAAGGACTGCGGGCGCGATGGGGTGGCTTGCTCGATGGGCGGGGTCTGTGCGCGGTCGAGGGCCTTTCGGCTCTCAGACTCTCCAGGAGTTTGACCAACAGGCATACGCATCAGCTGGCGACCGGCACGAGCACCAAGGGAGGCATGACTGGCTCCCGCAGACGGACCTCGAGAGTCATCTGTTTCCGAGTCATCGTCGAAAAGGCCACTGAGATCTATGGGCTTTCGGGATTCTTCTACCAACTTGTCCATGTCTATACCAGCACCTCGTGATTTCATGAGAGCGGACAGGTGAGGAGTCGCAGGAGAAGCCAAAAACTGTGGGTTCGGAGGCTGACGGGCAGGCTCGGAGCGTCGGCGGTAGGTCGGTTCAGCAGTCAAGGGAGGAGTGGCAACAGCGGAGGTGGTAGCCGCAACCGGTTTGCGAGGGGTGACAAAGTCCTTAGCGGGCGTGTGAAGAGATTTCCAAGGGGTCGTAACAACGTGGGTAGAGCGGATGAGAGGATGCACATAGCCTGGGGTTGTGGGAGTAGCGGTGGGCTCAGCAGAGCCACCGACCACGATCCCGGCGTCGTCCACCTGAACAGATTGACCACAGGCCATGGCAGCGGCGTCGTGGCTAGCAAAGTTACGGTTGTGTGCGATGCGACAGTGGTTAATAAATCCCTGAGTGCTGGAGAAGTTATCGCGCCGGCAGTCCAGACAGACCAGCTTGACCAGGACACCATCCGACTTGCGCCGGATGAGCATCGGCCCGGACTTCTCCTTGACCACAGGGTAACCAGTCGACAGTGCGGTATGCTTAGTGGCAGTTGAGCCTCGCTGAGGACGAGACTTGCCCGCCAGCATACCCATCTCACCGGGATTCCCACGCGTGGATCGACCCTCAGCCAGTGAATTTGCCAGCATCCCAGAGTCGACCTCACCGCCGTCAAAGCGAGGGTCAGGCAGCAACCACCGGGCGTAGTGGCGGGCGTACGGGCCTTCTGTTACTCCCCATGGAGCAGGCGACATCGGCGCCGGACCATTTCCAGGTGCCAACACTGACGCGCCCGTTCCCGAGCTCACATCCGGCGAGACACCCGCAACACGGGATCCGGGATAAGGAATTTCGCCACAGCGTCGCAGCTGTTCCAGAGCGACTTGACACTTGGCGATCTCCTGGTCGATGAGACGAAGTTCATTGTGCTTGAGTAACACCTCCAAGCTCAGCTGGGCGGTGATAGTTTCCCGAAGTCGGGTGACACTCGGTTTGGTGACGACGGCGTCCTGCGCCGGCGGGCGCGCGGACGCGACCGGGGAGTTTGACGAGGGAGTCAGAGTAGAAGGGGTGGGAGCGATCGAGTCAGCGATCACGGTTGGAGTTGGGCGCGTAGAAATGGCATCCGCGCAGACTTTCGTCGGGGCGGGCGCATCGGTCGCGTCGGAGTCGGAGTCTGAGCGTTTGCGCTTGAGCTGGGGCAGCGACAGGGTATTGAGACCTGTGCAGTTTGGAGCCAGCATTTTGACATCCTCCATCACCTTATTCCCTCCTATAGTAGAAGGCCAGGGAAGCAAGCGAAACATGCCATGTGAGTGCATAGAGATGGTTGTGGATTAGGTGGCAGATGGTCCATGCGTTCCAAGTTTATTACGGAAAAGGAATGGACGTTGCGCGACCGGAGGTTGATTACGGAAGGCAGCAAAAAAATCTATTAATAAGAGGGAGGAGAGTACAAGAAAGAGAAAGAGAAAAGGGAGGAAAATGGGGGAAACGGGGGAGAGAATAATGGGGGAGAATGGAGAGAATAGGGAGAATAGGGAGAAGGAAAGAATAGAGAAAAAAGAAGAAAGGGAAAGGGGAAGAAAGGGGGATTGAGGGAAGAACAGAATCGAGAAGATGGGAAAGGGAGGGAAAAGGGAGGTGGAGTGAGGAGAGATACTTGTTGTTGCCATACAAATCATATGGTGGATGCATGTACCATTCGGATTATTGGATTATTGGATCAGTCTCAAATATCTGCGACACGTCATACATTATTTACATTTTTATTTATTGATTTTAGATCTATCTATCTATAATAGATGTTGATATACATTCTATATTCTAGATCTATTATGAATGTTCTATTCACTTGGTTCTATTACTTATTAACTAGGTATTCACCTATTCACTATTCACTATTCACCGGATGTATACGGCTGATACCCAATATACCCAACACTGACCGATCCTATTGCCAAGACTACAACGGTCTGGGCCTTGCCCTGTTTCTGCCTAACGCCAGTTGTATCTACGATCTCCCAGATCCCCCAGCAAATCAGACCCTCCATCTATAAACTCTGCCGGGGGGCAAACCGGGTAGAAACAGGTTCCGACTGCGCCTCAATTGCATGTGGGACAACACAAAAGTACAAATCATATTCCTTATTCCACACTAGGTACCCGTGATTCGTACATAGGTCAGACGTGGCTGAGAAAGCAAATGGAAAGTCGTGGAACATCGTCGAATCGAGAACAGGAGAGAACAGGGGCAATTCTACCCCAGGTTCTTAGGGAACTGCACATCGGAGCCACTCTGTAGATTACCCCTATTTATAGTGTAATCTGCGGACCTGTGAAATTGCCTTTTCGAGTTAGTTCTGCCATTTTGGGTTTAATGCCCCAATACGCCGTCTCCTTTCAATGCTCGGGAATCTTTGCTCCAGATTTAATGACTGCGATAGCAGCTGAAGACTTTCAGCGTGCATTATCTGTTGCAGCACCATGTAACGCTGTTTTTGACACTGTGGATAGTGAAAAAATCAAGTCAAGCCACATGGAAGGGCCTGCAGGAACGAGAATTGGGCCAACAAAGAACAAAAGAACAGAAGGGTAGACTAGATAAGAAGAAGAAATCGAGCTAGGAATCAATTTAAGGCAAGCTCTTCGTCGCCAAAATTCATCCATGAGTTTTGTCTAAACATGAACGACGTTCTTTTGCAGACCAAGGATGACTGGATCTACAATAACTATCAAGTATGCTTCCGTTCGGGTGTAATTCTAATCTCTAATATCCAATTCATCTCATTCAGACTGCCTACCAAGTGTACTACCTCGACATCTAATCCTCTCGCTCAGCGGAATAATAGGAATATATGTACGGAGTATGGTGCAATTCAGTAGGTCTCGTGAGTTTCCTTCTTAACGCTTCTTTCGCTCCCAGCCAGTTTGGAATTTGGACTGCTTGAATCGAGGTAGAACATGCGCCTCCGTGTTGAACACAACATCTGTGAGTGGGAGATACTCCTTCGGTGAGAAGAGAAGGTACAAATACTTCAGAGTTTCAGCCTATATTTGAGTTTTAGTCAATCCAGTCGCGGCGGAAGCAAAAGACACGATTAGATCACTTACCAGCCAAAAGCTTTCCATACTATCACGGTAGGGCGCAGGAACCTTGGTAACATCGTTCAAAGAGGTATACCCTTCGCCGTCGGGGATAAGCATGTGCTTCTTGAAAGATTGGAAAATTTCCCATCCCCATTTCCTGTAAAGAGGATCTTCTGTAACTCGGAACATCAAAAAGAGACTCTCAACAGTTTCCGGGCGCTGCAGATTATGCGCATCGAGAGGCTTAATAATCAGGTCCTTCTTCCATGAATTCACGTCATTCTTGCTTTTCTCGAGGGGTCTTGACCCCGGCTGGGGTCGGAGATCGGCATCGTCAGCCTCAAACCAGGTAATTTCGGGCGACAACCCGGTGTCTGTCACAGCGTACATCGCCCAACAGGTTTTCATGAGCTCTCTTGCTAGCTTCATCTGCTCCTCCTTTTTAGCGTTCCAGGTTGGCAGCTTGCGCGCTTCAGCCTCGGTTCGTCCTTCGGTAGCAGCAATTGCAATTGAACCTGGCAAGAAACAAACAAGGTGGTCCATTTTCGGAGACAGCTTCCCACCAATACCAGTTGGAAGCTCCGCAATAAATTGGAGATTGGAGTGCTTGGTGGTAGTGACAAGGTGCTTTTGGATACCTTCCAGAGCCTCTTCCCACATCTCGCTATATATCGGCTCATCTCCGGATGTTTGCAGATATTGCTTGACCAAGTACTCTGTTATTTATTAGTTTTTATTTCATTCGTATAGCAGACATGAAGGGTATTACCGTAGTAGGAGTCCCCGCGGCTTCCAAGACGGATCTCCTGGTAGCGGAAATTTCCTGTATCTGGGTGCACAAAAATAGGCAACAAGCCATCTGGCATACGGTGGTCGTCGATCACCTTCATGACGTGTTCGGCCTTGCGCCAGTAGACTTCCTTGCCTGTGATATGCGCAAGGTACTTCATTTCCAGTTGAAGGGTCGTAGCTTCAGCAGTCGACGAGGCACCACCATCTGCATGAGACTGAATACCTTCTCGGGTGGATAGTTTCACACTAGCATATGGAATTCCGGAAGGAGACTCATAAGCGCTAAGAAGTCGGTCTGCGAGGTCAATCGCCTTTTGGAGGTAAACGTAGTCCCGACGAGATGCAACATCAGGAAGTTGAGTGGACAAATAGTGCGCCGACAGAAGCCCGCCTAGCATGCGAATGGTAGTCTCAAAAGTGTTGACATCTTGATCCTGGTCGTACGTCAGATCCCGATTGACCCACTTTCGAGCATCAGAGAGCTGAGAAGTTAGATTCATAATCATTAATGTGTCAAGACTGTCGACGATGATCCATCCAAGCCCTTTGGGACTCATTTGGTCTCCAGTCTTGGCAATGGGATGAAAGACATCCTTTCCTAAATTTAACTGTTAACTCTTACTCGTAGTGGATTTGGCATGCCAAAAATTCTCTACGTACCCCAGGCATGTTTAGAGTATGCATCCCAGCTTGTGACAAACACGTCCTTGACTTCTTCTTGCTGGGTTTTCCAATAGCTATCCCGACCAATGGGTCGAAATTTATCCAATATAGCCTCAACACTGGGATTAGCCATATAAAGGCCCGCGGAGAGTGCCACTACACCAGTGAACAACACCGATGTGAGACTCCAATTGGGGCCAAGCAAGCCATGCTGCCGCCTCTCGGAACTCTTCGACGCGACACTTGGCCGGGTTCTTGTTTTCTTGGGACCCTTTGAAGGCATAATTGTGTCGAAAGATGAAGTTGACAACGAAGAATTGTTGACGACGCACTGGTCAAATAAAAAAGGGGAGAATCGGTGGGGGGCTGGGCGGCGCGCACAGCAAAAGCGGAGCACGGAGAACAGCATCGAGCTGTGGTTATATTACCACCATTCCTATATAGGAACAGCTTGAGCATCCACCCGAGTACGGAGTACAGTACGGAGTATCCCAAGAAGTATTTGCCCATCCTTGTCACAGCTTAGATCTTACCGCCTACTAATTCTAGTCACCTACTTTCAAATTTGATAATAACAGCCATTCGGTGACGCATAGGTTCTGGAAGGTGAACAGAGTGCTTGTGATATTTTGCGTGTATGACCACGCGTCGTGAGCGCACGATGGAAGTGGAAAAGGTAGGCGGTAGGTGGTAGGCGGTAGGCGAAAGCGGCGGAAAGTAGAACTCGAAGTAACTGCCCGGTGGGTGCAAATACTAACATAACATGAGTACGGAGTATGTTGTGTACATTCCTTACCCAAGTCACCTCTAATTACCTTGAAATATTAACACTCCAATTTTACAGGCTTGTTTCACCGGAGCTGCGTTAGCGGGCCGACCCCTGCCCGTGTGGCTTCTATCCTTGGTGTCTTGGGCTGTAGTTCTCCACCCAAAGCGAAATCTTATTGAACCGACTTGTAACAGACAGTGTCCAGCCCCTGTGATTTCTGTAATAAGAGTGTTATATGAGCATTCTTTTATGCGCTGCCCCCGGGAAATGGGTCTATGCACTGTATATGGGGAATGGGGCTGTAGTTGTATTGCCTTGTTCTGTGTGTGGGTCGCGACCCAGTTTTTCACTAATAGTGGCCATTCATTATCTAGAATACAGTACTTTCTCCCATTGGCAGAAAGATAAGTGGTACTCCGTACAGGTACTATCTTCTAATAATGACCACTGACGGAATGCATAAGTAGTGCGTATCAGGGTTAACTAGTGCATGTGACTGCGCTAGTGTACACGTCCTTTGAGCTTGGTTGGCTCTCGTCCGCCCATAAGTTTTGGCCCCCTCAACTAGTCGGCGGCTACGGAGTACAGATTTCAGGGTTCTAATACTGTTACATAACACTTTATCGTTTGGTATTTCCATAACGCATCTCCCGGGCGAGTGCGTAGTCCAGAACACTAAATGTGGTAAATTAAAACTTGATATCTTAACAACGGTGACCAATAGGGACTTTCGCTTATGGAATAATACTTTGAAGGTGATATCCAGCTTCTCTAGGGAGTTTGGAAAATATTAATCACTTCTCTTTAGATAGCTATGGTGTTGGCGGCTTGCCTGTGCTCTTTATCTTGCGAGAGATCATGGTCGCTGTCAATTTTGATTCACCCAGCCAACTGAACCCATATGAATACTTCGATATGATAGGAGGGACTAGTACTGGAGGGTAAGTAGCTTCATATGGCGACCGACGCCTATGGAATTGCCGATGCGTTTTACCAAGAATATATATCACTTGATGATGAGGGAAGATATTTTCCATTTAACGTCAACAGGGGCCTGGAAGAGGTTTGATTATAGGAATCTTTAAAGAAAAATGTGATTGCCGCAGCAACCCGGTTCTATCATACTACGCAGACAGTATAGAGCAACCTCAGATTTGGCATTATCTAGCAGGATTCTGAAGGAACTAGTGTACTAGTTCTGGCGATCCATACATGCAATGCACAGGGCATGGAAATGGTTCTGAAGAGCGGCGGGGACCATTGGAATGAAACAGATATATTCAAATACGATATTTGAGGTTGTTCAGCGCTACTCTTTGGTTTGGGTGGCGTGTATCATAATGAACACCAACTGGGGCATGGAATATGATCTTAACCAGACCAACGTCACTCACAGGAAGACTATACTCCACTGGGCTGCCGAGACCAGCGCTGTTAAGCTTGTGGATGAGCTTTTTGCAGCAGGAGTAGGCTTCACCCTTCAGGATGTCTATAGCGAACCCCCCCTGCATTATGCTGTAGAGAGTGGCCATCTCGAGACTTGGTCGGGCTGGTGCTGATGTTCATGTGATTTATTTTGAGAGTAGAGATTATCTGACACCTCTTGATTGTGCAACTCATAACGGGCATTCATCATTTGCATGTTTCCTTACTTCATGTATGAGCTTGTCTTGGATTCCAGAGGACTGGTCTTTCTAAAGAGGTTATAATCTGACGGAAATCTGCGTGTACAACCATGTATGGTATGGTCTGCATGAGAGATATGTATGACACTGCCTAACTAAAATACAAATAACATGCTCTTTTCCAATATGTGCAGACATAGCTGACTAAAAAATGTGTGCAATTTGTATAGAGCACGCCGTTATAGTGGTCCGTAGAGTTTCCGGGTTTTCAATACCCTGTAATTCACCGTAGTATTCAACCTTCGTATTCGACAATTTCTATGGAACACCACTTCTTCTTAAAGCGTAATTTTGTGATGAGAGTTCTGCCGGTGAATTGCCACCCTGACCAGGGCGTAAGTTAGCCGCATCCAATTCAGCATGATATTGTTGCTGGTATGGTGCTTCGGATATGGACATAACTGGGGGCTGTGAGTGATGATATAGGTTCTGTGCGGGCTCCATTGCTGCTCTCTCCTTCCGCTTACGGAAGAGGTACAAGGCAATCAGCAATACGATCACACCTATCGCACCCACACCGATGCCGATGCCAATTCCAGCCTTTGCTCCAGTAGTAAGGCTACTTTCAGAGTTTGAGCTGGAGACAGAGAGACTTGGAGAAGCGGCCGGGGTCGTGGTTGTGGTTGTTGAAGATGATTGTGTGGCCAAGGATTGCGTGGTCAAGGATGGCGTCGAGGTTATAGAAGTAGAGGTAGCAGTCGTGGGGTATTTAATGTTCCAACCTACAATGGCAATTGCACCGACAGTCGAGCTGGAGGTCATGGTTGTTGTAGCCATTGACCACGAGGTAGAGTCATCACTTGCAGTGGATCCGTAAGTAAGAGTCATGCCCGAAGAAACGTCTGATAGGCAGTTTCCAGCAACAGAACCGGGAATAGCATCTGCAAGATAGAAACCCCTGTAGTTGATATCAGTAAGACATCCCGCTCTAGATCGATGGGCAAGAAGTAAAAGTAATTTGGACTTACGATGGACAGCACATCTCCAAAACACTGGACGAATCTTTTGTGGAAGAGGCGAGCGTGGACCAATCCTCGGGGCATGACATGGGCCCGATGCTAAGCCGTGTCTTATGCGAGCCACCATCGCCTAGAAGCCCTTGCTCCCACCATGTTGTCATGGCTGGTGGCCCACAAACTATGCCAGTTTCCACGTCGAGACCGTACGCGGGGTCAAACGCCACTAAGCTCGGCCCATCAAGACGGTATTTGGTGGAACATCCCGAGGGCGGCGTCCATGTTGTTGTTAGCGGGACATAAGATGTGACAGTACCACTATGCGACTCCGCTGGGTAGAAGATTGCCGAGTTCGACATAGAAAGTGACTGGAATGCAGATCCTTGTTAACGCCTGTTGTCGATGCGAAGATACTGCCAGGTCTGTCTTCGTAAATGGGCTATGTAGAGCTTTACGAGATCAAATTGCTCGGGTAAATTCTGGGTAGCATATACTGTAAATAACAGAGAGTCAAGAACTAAAAGAGTGGGGTTGGGGGGGGGAGGTGAGCGAATATTTAAGCTAGAAAAAATATTCAGTAGGGTTGGTCTTGTCGCCCTACGGTAATTTGCGTCTGTTCGCCAACAAATTCGAGCTAATGCAGGTGCCGGGATTGCAGGTGGAACATGCATATCTAACAAGTCAGCAAAGACTATCTAATGATAGGGGCGGCCCCTGCCTGTTCCCGACAAATGGATTGATGGACGAAGCGCCAGTGGCTGTCTTTAGGCTGAAATCCAACTCTCTTGCTGTGACAGACAAGATACAAGGGCGCGTACAGTACGGAGTAGTACCGCAAAAGTCCGCGACCACCATTATTGGCCACGATTTTCTGCCATGATTCTGCCGCACTAAAAAACCCCATGCGGAGGCCCAAGGCTGATGAATTCAATGAAACCAAAAGAGATGAAAGGGGCATCCAACAACTAGGAATTGCAACTGTTCGCTTACTTAAATGTCTAATTGGTGTGTGCTCAGCGGCCGTAGATGCAACCTGATTGAGCATGACTGTCGGTATCGTTGCCCGCGGTGCAGGCCAGGAGACTACCACACGAACGACTTGCCTGCTCGTACATTGGATTCAATAAAGATTCCCGCCAAATGTTGTTGTTATCCCTGGAGGATGGCGCGACGGCGCAACTGTACCTCATCAGCACCCAGCGAGTGGATTGAGCTCTGCCTGCCACTCATTCCAGAGTCAAAGAGCAAATAAAACATGCCTCCTTGTCTCTGGTCCGCCTTGGCTGCTGCAGAAGTAGACATGCTTTCTCTTCTGTCCTAATTATCATCTATGTCAATCAACCATAAAGTCAGCGTGGCTTGAGAGACGAGGCGCACTCGGTACGCAGTCCTATATTGTATAGCGCTCAGTTTTAGGGGGGATTCAATGCCTGGATGCCTGCCTTATTTGGAATGGGAGAATTAACATAACAATGCCTTCAGAATCAAAGTACCTTGTCTCTCCTGATGTTCTCAAGTGTCAATAATGAAGCTTTTGAACCTCTTACTCCCACACCTGCACTCCACATTACTGGGATGCGATTAGACTTGGGCAGCCCATAAAAACATGTGACATATTTCCTCTTGGGACTGAGTAAATCTCAGTCTGCTTATGCCCATCACGTGATAGAGTAGTGATGCCTGTGGTCATGTGATCATTGATTACTCAGCTCAGATATGCAGTGGACCCGTGGACCTTGGCATGTGCTCAGTCCACATATCACACCTGAAGGAGCAATTTGGCCCCCACAGTTGGTTTTGCGTTCATAATTCGGATTCGGATTCGGATTCGGATTCGGATTCCATGTGGCTAATATAAAATAAGACGAGAAAGCTAATCGTCGTATAGCGCCATCAACCTGCCACACCAAATTAATCAAACTCCGGATTGACCCATGACGGCTGCGGTGCTTTTGCGCGCATCCAAGCCCCAAATTTATGTAAACTGCCAAAGACAATACACCCGCCAGCAAGTGTAACAAGTCCCTGGACAGTAAACGTCCAAGTCCAACCAGAAGACGCTTGCCACGACGCAACAAAGAACTGTTTACCAGGCAGCAGTCAGTTAAACCGCTCATTAGGTAGATCAAATATCGGAGGAACATACGGGATTGATGAAAGCGCTCAGGTTTAGAAACACGGCGTAGAAAGTAATCACGCTAGTTGTTTGTAAAGGATAGCAGTCAACAATGTAACTACTAGTTACCGTATTGCCGATCTGGATACCCGCCGCAACTAGCGAGCCGTTAGTTCTGTGTCGGATGCTATACACACGGAAGACAGAATAAAGAATACTCACATAAAAAGAATGCTACCTGGCCTACCACCCAGTGGTAGTTCTTGTCGATGCTAACTCCCCAGACAATTAACCCAACTATAATTTACCGACCATCAGTCACACTCAGTATAGAGGATGTGGAAAATCAAGGCATACCAGTGGTGATCAATATAGCTGGGTACGCCAACCACAACCGCATCTCCGGGACGCGTATATTGCCATTCCTCCTAGACAATCTCTCGACAATGAAATCACTCAAGCGCCCGGAACACCCAATCTCCGAAATCACAGTTCCAAGAAACAGCCCAAGGAACAACAGTCCCTGAATGAGAGGCGTGTAGCTTGGATAAGCTGCAGGTACCATCGTAATCACGGATAGCACCCACCAATACCAGACAAAGCTGTATCCAACAACTGCAATGACGACTGCGGGTAGCTGAAACGTCAACACAAACCGGGTGATGGAGTCCCACGGCTTGGGATGGCGCATGCCGGGGATAGGACGCCAGTTGATGAAAGGCAGGTTCTTAGTCCGGCGTAGCTCTGACGGTAACGTCTCTGCTGGAGAAGTTGGTGTAGTGTCACCTCCTGGTACCTGCTTCTCGATATCACCTGCCAAAGCTTTGTGGCCGTTAAGACAGGGCATTTGCTGAAGCATCTTATTGCGGGGGTAGAGGGTTTCTGGCATGAAAAAAAGCTCGAGAAAAAGTAGTGCGGCGAAGAGGATTGCATTGAACCAATTGATCCATGCGGCACTGACCAGATCCAAAAACCCGCCAACTAGAACCTCTCTTAGTATGTGGTCTGTGGCTTATATGTGTGACAATGTCCGAATAGTTAAACTTACAAGTTGGACCTAGAAGTAACCCTGCATCAATTGCTAGAACCCACAACCCAAGCTTCTGGCCACGCTCATAATCAAAGAACAAATCGTTCACTTTACAGGGATTTTGTCAGATATGCATACTGTCTGCGGGTGGATAGCTTAGACTTACCAACTGCCATCCCAACCGTAGAAGCTGGGCTCACTCCAAATCCTTGGAAGAAGCGAGCAGCCATATACCCCGAATATGTATCAGCGACAGCAGCGCCAATAGTTGAGACTAGGGATATGACGGTTCCGACTAGAAACACCGTTCTTCGACCATAGATGTCACCAAGTGATGACCATATCAAGGGTCCCATGGATAACCCTAGTGCAGGCACGGCGACTGTCCAGTTAACTTGCGAATAGGTGATTTGGTACTGGTCTTGGATTTCCGCGAATGAGGGAACAGTGGTGGTTGTGAGGTATGTGAATAGGAAATATCTGTGAACGAGCAGCATAATGTCAGTAAGGCAGCAAGACATGTGAATTGGTGTTCATGTTCTGAAAATTGGTACCTACTTGAACATAACAATAGAAAGTATGACATGTTTTTGAAGTCTTGACCAGTTCAATGGATCCAATGAGTCTTCAGTTGGCTGTGGGTGAATTCTGATCCCATTTTTGTTGACTACTGCACTGTAGAGAACTTGGCTGCCTTGGTCGACGGGAGTATGGGTTTGGTCAAAGTCATCATTCTTGGTGTCTTTTTCCACCATCTCCCGTCTTCCGTCAAGCTCTGCTGAAGTTGCCATTTCATAGAGCTTTCAGTTGGAAGCGTATGCAATTTTTTATACCAATGACGGCGCCCGAATGTGATATTGAGTGTGATAGAAGCTCTGTTCAGTATATCGATTTGGGTTTGAAAGCTATATAGGAAAATAGATCCGAAGTTGCCGTTATTCAGTGAAATGTGTTGTGACCGAGCAATAGTAGTCTATTGGTCTTGTTACCCTGTCGAAAGTCCCAATTCAAGAGCATAGCTGATAAGGATTGAACTAGGTTTGTCGGGATTTCAAAAATTGCATTTCAGATCATTCCATTAACTCTTTCAGTATCAAAGTACTCATGTAGTATACTATTACGTCCATCATATCAATGTTTCTACACAAATTTTCATTATTTACAAGTCATGCTGTCTTCAGTTCGAGGTATGCAATTGAACAGTGAAGTATATTATAGATATTCTACTTTCTTGATCTTCTGCGTAAAAAGATCCTTGATAATTCCCATTCCATAGGCGCCAGGATCATAATTGGTGCAAGAGGCCCCCGGCCGTCAAAGTGACAGGGGTATAAGAACATCGTCCGAGTGCCCTCATCAATTGGTGGAAGGGCATGATAAGTTCAAAGATAAGGGAGTCGATCTGGCATTGGTCACACAATAATAATCGAGAGGGAAATTAAGTTGTCGGTTTATTCTCCGATGCTTGGGATTTTAAAATAGAATTATTCTCTATACATGTGTGTGTACCTTGGAAGAATCTCCGGGGCACTCCACACTCTACGCTAAGATATGCTCAAAGTAACAACTTACAACATCGCTAAAATGAAGAAACGTGGCATTTATCACATCTGCGTAGTTAATTTTTAATACATTATTAGGAATGAACCCGCGATTGCACAATTGCGACGTATCCGATCAGCATTGGACGATAACATCACGAACAGTCATAAGAATGAAAATATTGTGATACTATCGAAGCTCATTCAACTGGCTTTGTGATAACAAAAAGTAAGCCTCTCTAGTCAACTTCCATTTCGAGGACGCTAGGGCAGATCTCCCCGCTTTCACAGATAAGAACCATGAACATGGATATCCTGACATCATATTGGAGATCAAGACTAGACCGATCTATTCAAACTCCTACTCGCCAAATTGAAGCCACCGCAACGTGGCTCCAGCATTCTCGGTTAGTATATGCCATGCCAACTCGCCGCTGCAACTAGTCGTCCGATATCGGGCTTGGACTCGAGATACACGTCCAAAAGGCATGGCAGTGGAGCAAAAATACATGATTTGAAGAACTGATTGCCCTAACCGCTTCAATTAAATTGAGCATGTATTGGTTCTTTCAATACGTAGTCAGAGGACTTGCTGTATCATTAAGTACCAGGAATTCATGATAATACATACTATACAAACTTGGAAGCTCCATGTCGGCCATAGTACATTTA